ATCCCCACTGCACTGAGAAGTGCCTATAAGCAATGACAAGCCAGTAGTAATCAGAATCCTAGCACCCCAATAGTGGTCTCTAAATACCACTTCTTACTAAAAAGAGCCAGCACTCCTTGGAAAAATGGCAAATTGCAAGTTTGGCCAAGAAAATTACAAGATGAACATGAGCCATTTTATTTTACCCAGAAAACAAGGAAGCTAAAAAAGAATAAGGAGGTCCCCAACCCAAAATAGCCACCACTAACTAACTAAGATGGGACAATTCAGCAAAAAGAATTATTATTACTGCAATGGCTTGAAACCAAACATATAGCATCCATAATAACACTAACGAAATATTGGTTACCATTGTTATTGCTAAAGGAAGCTCAGTCATTAACTCATTATTTTGAAAATTGGTAAAGAGAAAGAATCAAAATTTTATCTTGCCTTTCCTGCATTAACTAAATGAACTGGTTGATAAGGCAGTTCTCCTATGAAGAATTAATAAATGCAGATGGAATAACAGAATTAGAAAATCACCATTTTGCAATTCCTAATGAAATAATGGACCTAAATAATAATCATTAATGGATGCCAAAATCATTAGATGAAATACTGATGAAGAACTTTATGAGGGAAGAATAAGGCCGACGCCTAAACCACTGAGTTACCTTCTCATCATTATAAGTGGGATAACTAGATATCAACTTCTAATGTGACCAAACCTCTTGATCACAGTTTATAGGAAATACAAGATATAGAGACATACTAAATGACACCATATGAAGGCAATTTGCTCACTTCATAGGGCAAATGACCTGGCTTCATCAATAAATCAAAAATGGAAAGGAAAAAAAAGGATGAGGACTTCTGTAGAATCAAAGAGACATATCAGCCAAAATGCAACGTGTAGACCTTGTTTTAATCTTGACCAAACTATAAAAGTATATATTAGAGCTCATCAGGGGAAATTGGAATTACATAACCAGTATCATCTTTAGGCCCCTGCTCTGACCTCACACTTTCGAGAGCACACTAAAGCCCGTGTTCTTGCCATCACCTGGGTAACTAGGAACCCAGAATTCTCTGCCCATTGCCAAGGCTTATATGGGCCTTTCCACTGGATTCATCCTCTGCAAAGCAAACTAAGTTGGTTGTGTGCACCCCCTTCCAGCCCAGCCTCTGGGATGGCCAACTTCCGGAGTGGCTTTTGCAAGCAATGTGGACAGACCCTGAATGACGGGCAGGAGATCCTCCAGGTGCATGTGAGATGGAACCTGGTGCAGAAGAGAAGAGGGAGGTGCCTTGGGGAGCCGGCTTTCAGTGCACTGTGACTTTCTGGTATGGAACTCTAAGGCAAACCCTGCCTTCCTTGTCATCCTGAAGGTATTTCTGTCAAGTTGTGAGATAAATTATATTTTATTTATCAATTTGTTAGCTTGACTTATAACTTCTAAATATTTAGATACGTTAGATAGGTGGGCTTTCGTGTGTATTCTTCTTCCAGTCCTGAAAATGTAAGGGGAAAGTCCATAGGTTGTATTTTTTTTATTATTAAATATGAAAATGACACAGTGGTTGTTAAAAAAATCTTTAGCAGTTAGAGGTGAAATAACTTGATTTGAATTTACTTTTGAATACTCTAGAAAAAACAATTAGAGGATTGGTAAATCAAGACTGGCAAAATGTTGGTAATTGTTGAAGTCATAACAAAAGTACATTTTACTATTATGTACTTTTGTGGATGTTTGAAAATTTCTATAATAAAAAATAAAAATCAGTCTTCTGCAGGGTTTGGCAAAGAAAAGCAGTGATGACCTTTTTGTAAACACAGACTGATAAGAGTCCCCAAGAAGATAATAATGCACAGCAAACCAGCACTCAGTAAATGCACTATTGCTGAGAAGCGAGCAGAAGAGAAGCACCCTGCCTAACCCAGAGGCTTCTGCTGCTTTCTCAGAAGTGAACTGAGGAATAGAGAATTGGAACTGGGGATGGGGACAGGGCAGGGAGGTGAGGAAGCAGACTTGGGAAGCAGAAATGGTGTGATCAGACCAAGACAAAAAGCCTTCCTCTTCTCATCTATGAGAACTCAGGAATATAAACAAGATTACATTTCGGAGCTAAGTACAGAATATAGAGTTTGTTAATGAAACCTAAAAGAAATTCATCCCCTATATTTATCCACATTTACCCGTTACTTACCAATAATAAGGCTGAAAAGAACAGTTCCTTTTACATCTTAAATTATCTTGCATAAATGCTTGTTTTTTAATTTCTTCCATGTATGTGCATGTATGTCTTTTATATATACACACAGGCACAATCACTTACCTCGGTGGCAGAGGGGACATAAAATATAATTTCCCAAAAGATTGAAATAATCCAATGAAACATAATGGGTGAGAGAGAGACCAGTGTATTATATTCTAATTTCTGGGAAGAAGTAGTTAATCCATGTACATGTACTGAGTCACAATGAGGAATATATTTGTGTACTTCAGAGTAATAATGTGTACTTTTACTTATGGCGAAACTCGTCATCCCGTGATAGTTACAGATTATCACACTCAGCTCCCACCCACAGTGTGTCATACGCAGAGAGGGAATACTCACCCATATTTATCTCTTGCTCTCCACCAATGAACATCATTCTTTTCTAATATGATATACTCTTGGCCTCTCTCTAATCTGAGGTCATGTGCTTCTGTTGCTTGGAAATCGTACATAGCTACAACTATTTCTTCACTATTATCTTCTTCTTCAGGTGGAATTGGTGGGGGAGGCCTTCGCTAAGAAAAGGAGATAACATGTGAAAGTTCAGTCTTCTGTTTGAAGCTTGGTGTGAGGTAAAACACTATGATTTGTACTTCACCGCAAAACAAAGCAGAAACCTCAAGTCTGCCTAATATAAGCTGGTGAACCCTCCCATGAGTTTGATGATATTGATGCTACTGGGTCTCTCATGGGTTTCAGAACACAGGACATGAGCAAAAACTGCCTTTAAACATCAACGGTCTTCTGCTCAGTGTCAGGGTTAGCTTTCCAGGGAGAGGGAAGGGTAGTATGTGAGTAGAAACCAGCAGCACTAAAGGCAGACCTACTGCTCAAACAACCTGCAATGAAGAAAACATGCTATGGAGTGGAAACTTTTATCAGGTCTCCTCTCACTCAAGGGAATCTGCACTTCTTTGTGCTTACTGTGTGCAAGGCACACACTTCGTACCTAACACACTCTTGCTCATTTATTCTTAATGCTGATCCCACGAAGTAGAGAACATAATTCCCAATTTACAACTGAGGAAAGAGTAGTTTAAGTAACCCACTCATAGTCACTTGTATCAGATTCACAGTGGATTAGGTCCTGTCTGGGTTGAAAATACATGTGTTTTCCACCACACACTACTTTTCAAAGGCATATCATAAAATCGGTGAAGTCATGCCTTTGTTATAATTCTGTGATTTTAAAATACTAAAATATTCCTTTAAAGTTCCATATCTCTTACACAATTCTTGAAGCCAAAATGTCAAATTATAAAATAGGGCCCCCAGTGATAATATCTGATACAATTAATATTATTTGACACCAAGAAAATATCAAATAAACTATAGCATATCTGTTTCTGATATGATGGGGGTGGGGAAGCAAATAGCATCACATGAATGAATAAAAACATACTCAATAATCTGAAAGTGCTTCTAAAAGTTAAAGGCCACATACCTTCTTTGTTTCTGGTGCTGGAGGTAATGCTTTTCTTATACCTGAAAATGACAATAAAAATAGGTCAAAATGACATCTACCAATGATCAATATTCTTAAGGAAAAGTGAAAATGAACACATAGACAAGAAATCCACTCTGAGTCTCTCACTCTGGTGTATGTTGCTTGTATCACTATTTAGAACGGCATTTTAAAATGCTATTGAAGATGGTTTGTATTTCTGCTTTTCTGAACATACTATAAATTCCACAGAGATCGGAGCTATGTCTTATTTTTGTAAACAAGTGGTACTACATCAAACTAAAAAGCTTCTGCTCAGCAAAGGAAACCACCAACAAAATGAAATGGCAACCTATAGAATGGGATAAAATATTTGCAAACCACATATCTGATAAGGGGTTAATATCCAGAACATACAAGAAAATGTGGCATACATACACAATGGAATGTTATTCAATCTTAAAAAAAAGAAGAAGAAGAAGAAAGAAGAAGAAGAAAGAAAAGAAGAAGAAGAAGAAGAAGAAGAAGAAGAAGAAGAAGAAGAAGAAGAAGAAGAAGAAGGCAGAAGAATAGGATACAGACCTGTCATTCGTGACAATGTGGGTGAACCTGGAGGGCATTACACTAAGTGAAATAAGCCAGACAGAGAAAGACGCCATATGGTATCAATTATATGTGGAATTTAAAAAAAAAATTTCTTTTGAAGTAAAACTCATAGAAACAGAGTGTAGAAAAGTAGTTACCAGGGGCTAGGGGGTGGGGGAGTAGAAGAAATAGAGATGTTGGTCAAAGAGTACAAACTTTCAGTTATAATATGCATGAGGTCTGAGGATCCAATGTATCACATGCCTATAGTTGATACCACTAGAGTGTATAAATAAAATTTACTAAGAGAGTACAACTTAAATGTTTATACACATGTGAGATGATGGACATGTTAACTCAGAGGGAGAATATTTTCATGATGCATGAGTATATCAAATAATATCTTAAGATTTTATTTGTCCTTTACACCTCAAAATAGTTGAAAAATGTAAATAAAAAAAAAACTACTGATGGTGCCATATTAGGCTCACACTTTTAATAGTCATTTTTATCAAGCTTCTACATTGTGATAAAGGGTCCCTAAAATCGATTAGACCTTTTGATTCCATGAGATGGTCCCACTGCTAACTAAATATAATTATTCTTACAAAATACACCTGCCCAATATTTACACTGTGCTAGAAAGTTTGAAGGCCATACTTAACCAACATCGAAATCAAAATCATCTCACTTTCTCACTATACCAATAATATGTACATCCTGAGCACAATATAATTACAGAATAAAACAAATACTTACTACTCTCAAAAAGATTGTATTTTTCACATCCAGGTGCCAGTTTTTCAGTTTGTCGGCAACACTGATAACTTCCATCTGCCCAAAATTTAGGATGATATTTAATCATAATATTATTGTTGTTCTTGATTTCTGTAATTCACAGATACATTAAATGAGCAGTGAAATAAAACAGAGATAAAAGAATGTTTAGTAACACTGTCAATTATTCTTGATTTCTCAGATATCGTATTTATTATGAGAACACCTTCATAACATCATACAACCCAGCATTCAGAAAATCCACACGGTTCTCTTTCACCTTCTTTTTATGGCAAAGCACCCTTGTTAGCAGAAGTAATCTCTGCGACACTGTGATCGATAAACACAAATGTCAGCCCACCACCAGTTCGTTCTGCAGAAGCAGCAATGAGGACTGTGCAGGACAAATCACCCACCTAAACTTTTTATGCACAAGTCAATTAATCCACATCGAATGTTGACTACATAGGCAATTTCTTAGAAAATACTAAATCCCATTATCATAAAAGCCCAATGCTTTATCTTCTTCAAATGTGTTATGCATTAAACGAAAGCACGCTTTTCTTAGAAACTATGTAAATGTCACTAAAAAGGAATCAGATTATAAAAAAAGAAGTTATCTTCAATCTGTATCGCTTAGAGTAACAGACTGTCCTTGGAGAAACACTTATTGTAGATTAAAAGATTATAAATGTGTGATATATTATCTGTGTTTCTGTTTTAATAGCAATGTTATACCCTAAAATTATGTACAGATTAATATTTCATTACAGGAGTTTTACCTTCTTTTAACTTCTTCACCCACTGGTCCCTGCTTTGTGCACTGGGTGCAAAAATGTAAAGTGTGTTAGCATCATGAACAACCTAAAATAAAACATAAGATGGAATCAGTGAGAACTAGTACTTCTTTCTGGCACAGAGCCCTCAGTACCACAGACACCAACAAATGGTTCCAAAATGACTGAATAAAAGTCAATTGCTTCAGATTCAAAGAACCTAGATTCTTGTCTTACAAAATCACATCCATTTCTTCATGTCTGCATCGAGTAGGTTATACATTTTGCAAAGGACTGTATTTTATAGAAGAAAAAAATACACAGAGGCTGGGATGCTTCACTAATCTGGTTATTTCTTGTGACCTAACTAAAGTTCCTTAGGTAAACTTGGTATAACGGGGATTATTCTAATCCAGTATTTTTTTTTTAATAACATTTTAAATAAATGGACTACTCTTTCAGCTTCATTCCTATACCTTTCTTTTGTCACTACAAACAATTGCCGAAACTATTAAGCCCTGACCATCCTACTCCATGCTATGTGCTTACATTCACTTAATGACTCCCACCACTAAGATATTAGCATTTTATAGAGGAGACCGAGGGCAATCCACAGACCCTCCACTCCTGTAGAACTCCAGGAGGCACCATTCCATTCACATAGCACTGCAAATGGTGCCCTCTGAGGTGCCACCAAACTGCCCACCATTGTTTGGCTGGTAATTCAGAAAGTCATGATCCTGATTCCAGAGCCCAAACTTTTCACCATGGTTCCTCTTTCAGAGGTAAGTCTTGGCAAGAAATTAAACAGTCTTAGTATTCTTATTTTTGGTACTACTAATAAAATCAAACTTGGGAAACTTACTCAAGAACTTTATCTTTGGTCTGTCACAAGGCAGAAATGCCTTGATTATCTAAAAAGAAAAATATGGCTAGAAACCTTCTTTCACCACGTCAGCTCTAGATTGAACACAACTAGCTCTTTCACTGATAAATGGCTATTTCTGACCATATTCTATAGATAATTTCTTCCCATTCATTTTAATCAAATAAATGCAGCAATCTAAAAGCAACAAGAACACCATAGAAAAAATGTTATATTTCATTCAGTGATTAATTAATTAATCCAACTAGCATTTTGCTGTGACTATATAAAATACAAAAATATATCAAACATGAAGCCTATTTCCAAGACACATTTAGAAATATAACAAGACAGAAAGTGAGACATGATAAAGGCAAAGATAAAGTGCTAAGAGAGATGTGGGAATGTATGTAGCCTCATTTGGCCTATGATTTTCACACCTGTATTGCTGTGATTTATAACAATATTTCTTTGGTCTTCATCCTGTTTCCTGGCAGGAAACTCCTAAAATCCTTGGAATATCCCATGCTGAGAGTGACAACGGTGTTTTTGTTCTGCTAATGAGGTGACATTTGGAAAGCACCTAAGGATGAGCACTGGTTGCCGTAGAACCAACCACATTATTAATGGGTTGGAACTTCCAGTCCCCGCCCCCCCAACATCCTCCCACCTCTGGGGAGGGGAGAAGGACTAGAAATTGAGTTCCATCACCAATGGCCAATGATATCATCAGTCATGCCTATGTAACGAACGAAGCCTCCATAAAAACCCTGAGAGCAGAGGGTTCGGAGAGCTTCAAGGTTAGTAAACACGTGGAGATTTGGAGCGAGAGGCTCCACAGGAAAGGGTAGGGAATTGCCACGCCCTTCCCTTCACCCTCCCTCCCACCCCTGTGCCTCACCCTATGCATCTCTTCCTGAGTTATATCTGAAATTGAAGGTCTTTATGACTTTGGTTACATTTAGTTTTAAATCTTAGCTCTAGAAATCATAACCCCTTCCCCTCCCCAGGGACCCAGCCTTTCTCCCCAGATAATCAGCAACCCTCGAGATGGCAGCATGGATGAACCTGGAGGAAAAGTAACACTACTCATTCATTTTTCCAAGAGTTTTTCACTGACAATGTGCTGGAGGAGAAATAGCAGAGATGTTACACAAACAGACAGATCTGAGTTCAAAACCTAGGAAAGAAACACCACGTCCCGGGGAACCCCCGGCTACTCTCAGAAAATTCAACTAAGAAAGCAGCCGGCTCCTCTTATTTTCTCTTCCTTCCTAGGGCTAAGATAGACTGAGAGAGGAAGCGACCTCCTTTTGTCTCTTGGTATCTTTTGAAAATGTCTACTTCTACTTTTCTTTTCTTTTTCTTTTTTTCTTTTCTTTTCTTTTTTTTTTTTTTTTTTTTTTTTTTTGCCTTGCATCTAAACGCGATGTAAACTTTCACTGTGAAGATGTGAAACTAGGATCTATACTTTCTTGAGTTATGGTAAGAGAGGACATTTTGCATCTTCCAAATATTGCACATTTAAATTACATAGTTAAAGCTCAAGTTTTCCTCTTCTTAATTTTTAAGGTTGTTTTTGAACTTTTCTTATGTTTATTCACCTCAATAGTCAAAAATGGTTCAGGAATGGAATGCTTGCTATTCCTGTATTTTTCTCATTCTAAAAACCAGCCCAAAGCTTGCAAAGTGGATTTCTTTCTCTTGGACAGTAAAAATCCTAACTCTGGGTCTAGAATCATGAGAACTATAGCTCCCTACAATGACCTGCCACCCACAAATGTCTAACAGCCATCAGGAGTGTGGTAGGAGTAGTTCTTTACTAAACCTGAAATGAAGTCGGTCTCTCTCTCTCTCTCTCTCTCTCTCTCTCTCTCTCTCTCTCTCTCTCATCTATCCTATTGGTTCTGTTTATATGGAGAATGCAGACTAATACAGAGATTCTCACACACACACACACCATTATATATGCACTTAACATGCTTAATCAAGAAGATTAAAATTGGGCTTACTTCTAGATCTGGGTGGTAAATATAGTGTTAATAGCAGTGGTAAGAGAAGCAAAATAACAATAATTATAGCAACTAACACTTATCTTGCTCTCACTGTGTATCTAAGCTATTTATATATCACCTTAGTTAATCCTCACAACATTCCTAGTAAGCGAGTACTATTATTATTTTTATTCTCATTTTTCAGAATAGCAGTTAAGTGATTTGCACAAGGTCAGAGAGCCTGTCAGTGGCAAATCAGATAGTCTGGCCTCAGAGTTGACTCTTTAAGCACTTTAATGTCCCTGCTCTTCATGCAGAGAAATGGCAGATATAAAATGAGGAATTGAGAAAAGGAAAATTAAATATTGCCTTTCTTCCCATTGTGTTGTTGCCACCATAATGAAAATAATCCAGATGCGGTTTTAAAGCTTCTACCTTCAGGTCATCTTAATCTTCCAAACCGGTAAATGTTTACTTGACGTGTAACTGATAACTTCATGTAGCAATTAAAAGTAACCAAAGTCTCCAGTATGATGCTATGTTGAAAAGATTTTTGCAACTTTCCCCTTAGTATACAGATCATAGCCATGGGTAAAAGATGACTTTCATTGGAGACATTCATTACTCAAAGGAAAGCATAAAAGCATCCTCAACCAGAGAGGGGAGTGGTTAGGTGCTGGAGAGGGGTCCTGTGCTGTCTGCCACAAGGTCTGAAATGCCAGGATCCACCTCTGCCCTCTTGACTCTCAAGGCATGTGTGCACCATGATCCTGCATGGAGTGGCTCAGGATGCCATACCAATCCTCCTTGGGAGTGACAAGATAATGAGTGCATGTTCTAGGGAGCTTTTCAATTCACAAAATTACCTTGGACAAGTCATTTAACATCCGTGAACCTCAATTTCCTCAGTCAGAAATGAGAATAGTATATTTACTTCCCTTATATAATCGGTGCATTGTGAGAGAAAACATGAAATCACATAACCTTTTTAAAAGGTACAACTTTATATATAATGCTAATGTTATATTTTGCATCGCAGGCAGACTTTTAATCTCATTTCTGTTCCAGTAGCTCACTCCTGCCCCTTCTCATCTTCTCAAATTCACAGAGAACACCTCATCTTACTTTTTTCAGTCTCAGTCCCCAATCCTTCTCCTAACTTCTCTGTGATAAATCTGAATAGCAACAAATTAGGTCTGGGGTTCAGAAATTCAGGATATTGGTAGACTCTAACAGACCAAAAACGAGAATAAGACAATGTTTCGACCAAGACTGAAACAGTTCATGAAGAAAAGCAATTACAATTAAAGCACAAATTGACCTAAAAATCAACTACTATATGATTCAACAATTCACTTTCAGATATATATCCAAAGGAAATTAAATGTGCATCTTAAAGAGATATCTGCATTCCCGTGTTCACTGCAGCATTATTTGCAATGGCCAAGATATAAAAAAGAACCTAAATGTCCGTTTACAGATGAATGGATAAAAAAAAGTGTCTATATACAATGGAATTTTTTTCAGCTTTAAAAAAGAAGGAAATCCTGTTATCCCACAACATGGATGAACCTGGAGGATATTATGCAAAGTGAAATAAGCCAGACACAGAAAGATAAATACTGAATGATCTCACTTACATGTAGAATCTAAAATAGTCAAATTCATAAAAGCAGAGAGTGGGACAGTGTTTTGCCAGGGGCTAGGGGGTGGGGGAAATGGGAGATGTTGGTCAAAGGGTAGAAAGTTTAAGTTATGCAAGATAAATAAGTTCTGGAGATCTACTGTGCAGCGTGGCGACTACAGTTACGAATACTGCATCGTATCCTTGAAACTTGCGAAGAAGGTAGACCTTAAGTGTTCTCACCTCAAAAAAAGAAAGAAAATGGCAACTATGTTTAGTGATGGATATGTTAATTGGCTTGACTGTGGTGATCATTTCACAGTTTATACGTATATCAAAATATCAAGTTTTTACATCTTAAATATAAACAATTCCTATGTGTAAATTATATCTCAATAAAGCTGAAAATATTTTTTGAATCGACCACAAAAGCAATGACAGGAAACTGTAATATCAAATATAAGCATGACTAAAAGCCCAGAATTACACTGCCACAGAAATATGTCAGCTCACCTGAAATGGAAATTTATTTTGACAGGGGATGACACCGTCGTCATTCTTCACTATTTCTACACACTTGATTTTTGAAACATCAATAAATCCTTTTCTGTATTTTTTCTGTTAAAAGAAAAATAAAGAGAACTTTTACAATAATAAGATATATGAAAAAATATTACTAATATTTGTTAACATTTGACTCAAAATATCACAATTTCCTTAATAATTATCTAAATTGTGAACAATTATTATTAAAATTGTTCAAAACACTAATACTGTGAGGACTGTAATCAAGATAATTAAGTTCTTTAATTTCTAAAGATGAAGTGGTTCTGCCCTTCCCCCCCCCCCCCCCCCCCCAAAGCTCTAGAACAGAAAATTAAACTCCCTCTTATTGCGGCCTTCCCCTCTTAGACACACACCTTAACTTAGATTTCCTGATGACAGCCCCACAAAAGATAGCATCAAAGACCAAACCAAGCAAAACTGCATGTACTCGATCACAAACTCCAACCAGTTATTTTCAGAACACAGAGCTCAGGAGACGGCTTCAGTGTGTTCACACGAAGCCTCTACTCAGAATCTATCACTGAATGTTTTACTTTCTTCCCTGTTGCCCACTCTCCCTATTCACTGCAAATCTCCCTGCAGCAAATAATGACATATCGAGACACACTCCCCCCAAAGCAGTCACACCCTCGAGTATAGTAATCTCACATTTGAGAATTTATCCCAGGAAAAAGTCCAAAAGAACTCAAAGTAGTATGTGTAATAATAACTTGATATATAGTATTCATTAAAAATATTTCAAATACAATAAAGAAATAAAAATGTTTGCTGAGTAACATTATCTGATATATTCCATACAAAAGGTTCTGGCGGGGGCGGGGGGTAGATATTCATATGATAAAGAATAGAAGAAAAAGTAGAGAAATGTAGAACACTATTGTGTTTGGGGTGAACCAGCCATTCCCTGGCCCAGGTCATTCAATTTTACTTCATCTAACACTTTGAAATTGCCCTCTAGCTACAATCTGGGCCCCCTACCCTGCTCCCAGAAATCTGCTCTGCATCCTCACTGTCACCAAAAGACTTTCAGACCTGCCAACTCTCTCAGGCCATCAGCTTCCAAATGACTAGCTAATCCGGAGGTCATTTCACCAGTGTATCTCTCTTCCCTTCTCTACCCCTCCCCTCCATTCCCCTCCCCTCCCTTCCTCTTCTCTTCCTCCTCCCTATACACAAACACACACACACACACACACACACACACACACACACACACACACACACAGGAATCCCACTTATCCCTTGACATTTTTATCAGCCCCCAGTTCTATCTACACCTTTAACTATTCCTACATACCTGACCGCAGAAGGTCACAAAACAATCCTGCCTTCTCTACTCTTAGCCAGGCCTTCACTGTAGCAACTCAGTTCTTTTGTGTATCTCTAGTGGAGTGAACCTAGTAGCCTCCACAGAGACCACCAGTCTCATCAGAACTACAAACCCTTCCGTTCCCATTGTCCCAGCTGACACTCTTTATGGAGAAGAGAGCAGCCATCCCACAGGCACAGGTCAAAAGCAGTCTAAGATTTACCCTTTTCTCTTCTCTTTCATCTTGTCTCTAAAAGGTTAACAAGGACACAAGTAAAGATACTGCAGTTGGCACTTAACAGATGTCATTTCATTTCGTGCTCACAAAATTCCCCTCATTTTAAGAGGAAACTGCAGCTCACGCAAGTTAAATATCACCCAAGGACCCCCAACTGACCCCAAAGCCAACTAAACCCTGGGATGCCCCAGCTGCAAACAGGTGACAGAATTAATGGAGTCATGTTCCCGAGGAAGCAGCAAGGATTCTGAGTATGGACTGAGCTTTAGTCAGCATAGGGAGAGGGACATTCTCCCCAGTCATGCTCTTCAAAGGCATTTACTTTTCCTGCCTACGGCCACATCCAGGCCCCTCCCTTCCACACCACGAACACTTTTTCTAATCCTGCTACTGCCCTAACTCTTCTCTTCCCTTCCTGAAAGAGAACGTGATTACACCTTCAGCCTTTCATTTCCTTCCCACCCACTCCTTTCTAACCACTTGAAATCAACCTCCCACGTCACCACAGCCTGCTAAAGTCATTCTCAAAAAATAACACCAATGACCAAACCCAACAGTCTTTGCTCGGTTGTCATCCGCTCAAAGCTTTATGAGGCACTTTATGAGTGCCGACATTCTCTTCTCTCTTAGTGGCCTTAACTTTGGGTTATCCTCGTTTTCCTTCTCTCCCTTCCCCTCAGTTTCCCACAGGACAACAATGGTCCTGTGTCAAGGAATACACAAACTCAAGATAGAGGAAGCTCATGTTCTAAGCCTAGAGTCCAAATATTGTGCCATTTTATCCTCACAGCCACTCTTTGGGGTAAGCATTATTAGACACATGTTACAGAGAAAAAAACTAAAATTAAGTAACTTTCCCAAGTTTACCTGCGGAAGAAACAAACAGTATTTATTATACGATGTAGTAAGTACTGTATATTAAAAAAAGATACTAAAAGAACATGATGGAACTGAGGCTTAAACAACAAAGTGAACAGCAATGTGAAAAAAAACATATTCCAGAATGACCTTGGTTGCCTCACCTAAAATGGAAATAATAACAGTATCTATCTACTTTATAGATATTATTACACAGCTGTCAGAATTAAATGATTTAGTACTTGCAAAGTGCTTAGAAGAGTGTCTTGGCCTATAGTATGATATCTATAAGTGTTTGCTACATAAAATAAATAAGTAGCAAGGAAATCATTAATGTGGCTGAAGCGCAGAGGCAGGATAGAAAGATGAGCAGGGGTCAGCTTGTGAAGAACCTGCAACATGGTGCTAAAGGCTCTGGTCATACAGGGCCAACCACTCTCTTCCTGGGGCCTGTGCCAATTAATTGGCAGAAGAAATTGCCAGAGCACCATCCTCCTATTAATAAGTCATACATATTAATTATAGAAACCTCAGAAAATACTAACAGCAAAAGAGAATCAAATGACCCTTAATCCCCCAATCTTAGAGAAAATCACTGTTGACATCATGGACTTGTTCCAGACATTGCTCTGGGGTCATGTATCACCTGCCAGCTCTCTTAGCCCTCACACAGAAGGCTATGCAGGGTCTGCTTCCAAGACACCCACCACCTGCCCCAACTACTAAAAGCAGCTGTTAGATGCAGGTCAATCTATACAGGAAAATTTCAGATGACTTGATCTATGACTCTAAATTCATGTACTATGATATATATTCCATTCATGTACTGTACTGATATTTGGGCTTATTAATCCAAATATCTTGCTATGAAGTTTGAAGATAAAAGTTCAAATTTAAGTTGCTCATTCATTATTTTATTTATCCCACCAGCAAACACTGAGATGCCATACCAAGCACAGTAGCTTCAAAGTTCTGGAAGAAAGTTGTGGGTCTCCTAAAGAGGAGTTCACAATGATACGGTGGGTGAAAGAGGAGGAAGGGAAAGATTCATAACAATCAAAAAAAAAAAAAATGATGAAGTCAGCAAACACATGGTGTGCTGTGGAGTGGGGCAGTGATTGGGCCAAAAGAAACTGCAGAAGTTTCATGGAGGAAGTGATATTCTGATGCAATTTTTAAAGAATACGTAGGTGTTTCCTGTAGAGAAAGCGAAGAAGATTTCCAGGCAGCAAAAAAAAAAAAAGGAAAGAAAAGAAAAAAGAAGAGGGGAGGGGAGGGGAGGGGAGGGGAGAAAAGAGAAGAGAAGAGAAAAGAAGAGAAGAGAAGGAAAAGAAAAGAAAAAAAAAAGAAAAGAAAAGAAAAAGAAAGTTCAGGAGAAGTGTAGGAAATGACACCAAAAAGGTTATTTGAGATCAAATAGAAAAATGCTCATATGTCAGACTTAGGAGTTTGGATTTGCCCTGAGTGGTTTTAAGTGTGTGAAGAGGAAGAAGGGGAAGGAGTGCTGGGTTGAGGTTTATTTTTTAGAAAGATAATTATTTATGACAGTTTGACAAGTGGGTGGGGACAGGGAGCTAGCTAGGAGACTGCTGCAAGAGTTCAGATGAGGGATGATGAAACTGTGAATCCAGTCAATGGCACTAGCGGAGAAAAGCAAGGATGCTGGAGTATTAGGAGGTAGAGTCCACCTAACTTTGTGACCAATTAGATGTGGGGATTAAGAGAGGAGAAGGAGTTGGGGAACCTCAGAGGTTTTGAGTTTGAGTGACCAGTAGACACTGATACCATAAACCGTGACAATGAATACTAAAGGAGAATTGGGTTTGAGAAGTTAGGTTGGTAAATGTTGTTTAACATTTGACTATTGAACAACTTAGGTGGAAATGCTTGGAGGGAGTTGAAAACATGGGGCTCAAACTCAGAAATGCTTAGCACTTTCACTATAGATAAAGAGAATTCTGCTTTTCACAACACATACACAATATATATAGTAGTACCTTATCCTAGCCACACCTCAGGGCAACCCTGAAAGTTAGGCAGGGCCAAGGAAGAAAATTTTGGGAAATATTAAGAGACTCGCCATAGAGAACACTGAGAATTAATAAATGAGCCATGTGCCCTCCTGACATCTGGTCTCGTAAAACCTGGTCTTCACACTGTGATTAACCAGAGTTAACACTGAGCATGGACATACAACATGCTTAAAACCACACATGAACTGAATGGCATAAGAAATGGGAGGTAGGCATAAGAGATCCTGTCCCCTAGCAATTCTTACAAGGTAAACTGTTGTCCTTTACTTTCTGGAATACTCAATATTTTTAAAAGATCGATATCGATCTTAAATTAACAAAATTAAAAATTTTTAATGTACACAAATATCCAGGGCTGGCCCCAGGTGAATTTGAGAAGTCCGCTGTTTATCTCCAGGACACCTTCATGTTCACCTTCCACACCCTTCTTCCTAGGCGTCCTGAGTCCTCACGTGCCCAGTGAAAGACACACCAGAATTTCCGTCCGTATGACAAATGATCTCTCCCTTTTCCCCTATCACAACTTTTATTCCTAACGTGCCTACTCCCAGCTGCGTGCTGTGGGACAAACTTACTGGATGATTCACCTGTGCGTTGCAGCAGGACCTCAGGG